CCCGAGTCCTAACCCTGGCAACCCGTGGATGTATCCATTTCCCTGGCAGAGAAGAAGAAGGTTCCAGATGGAATTAGGTTTCTAAGCAATTGGACTTTAAATGAGGGATTATTCTGGGATATCTAAGCATCTTCAATATAATGACAGAGGTATATGTAAATAGAAGAGTGATACAGAAGAGCCAATATTAATCTGAAAGAGACTGGATTGAAATTCACCAAGACCAAAAGTCCTCATGCCAAAAAAAAACGAAGGTGCCCCTTATGATGATGAAAAAGACAATGGAAAGGACTCTCCCTGGGGGCCTTCTGACATAACACATCTCTGACAACACTGGGTTTTGTCCACTAAAACCCACTTTTGATTTATTGACTTATAAAAAAAACCCCACACATTAGTATTGCTTTGAACCACTTCGTTTGTGGTAAAATGTTACAATAGGAAACCGTGATAGAACGATGTACATACCCCAAACCTAATCCTACACCCTAATCTCTGTCTCAGCTTAGATGGCAAAGAGACTTTGCAGGTGCACTCCAGCCGACTCTCTTGAGATGGGGAATGGCTGCGGGTTACATGGTGTCCTCGCTGTACCAACAAGTTCTTTCTCCAAGGGAGTCAGGAGGTCAGAGTCTGAGCAGATGTGAAAACAGAAGTGGAGTTCACAGGGCATGAGATCAGGAGCCAAGGAATACAGCAGCTTCTAGAATGTGGGAAAGGCAAGAAAACAGATGGAGATGGCCCATTGAGGACTTCTGAGCTCCGGGGCTGTAATACATTTGCATTATTTTAAGTTTATGAGTTCATTATAGAAGGTGCGAGGGTGGGGCTCACAACCTATGCCCCAAGTCGGGTTCAGCTACCTGACCTCAAAAGGCCAATAAAAAGGAAAAAAGAGAAGGGAGGTTTGTTCTGTGTGGCCACATTGGGAAGAGGGACAATAAAATCCCTCAGTGTGTCTTCTGGGGGTTCAGAAGTGAGATGGAGTAGAAGGTAGAGGATGAGTGCATCAAAGCTATCCCAGTCAAGGTGTGGTCCTGCCCAACCTATGGCTGTCTGGATTTCAGTGTCCTCATGTAAGTGTTCAGGCTGTTTGAAATCTCTTTCCAGGAGGCAAGTTATTCCTATGGCTGATGTCTTTTCCTTCTCCAAGCATGGGATTCCTGGGGAACTTCCCATTTATCTGAGGTTCGTTGCTTCAACAGTTTGATAGTCAGATTGAGAGACACAGGTGTCTCTTTTGAATATCTTCATTTCTGCCAGAGAGGTTATAGGTTTACAAGTTTGTGAACATTTCGAGCGATTTGTTTCTGTATCATCAAGGAACAAATTACAACTATGTTTACATATTACTTACTACTACAGAAGTGTACAAGTACTTGCTTTCGTGTGTGCATGCACTTGGATGTGGGGTGTGTGTGTGTGTGTGTGTGTGTGTGTGTGTGTGTGTGTGTGTGTTTCCATTTACTAATCACCCTCAGCCTTCCTGTGATATCTAGCTAGTCAAGCTCTTCCCCCATATGCACTGACAGCCCTCAGAAGTACTCTATGCCCTGGGAAGCCAGCCGACACAAGAGTCAGTCAGCTCCCATGGTTTCACTGGTCGTGATTTTCACATCTGGGCTCTCTCTCGACTACCATGTTTGTCCATTGAGAATTCCATCCTTGCCATTCTCTTTGTCCCGCTTGTCATAGAGTTCTGGAGAGAGTAAAGACTTCGCTATCAGCAGGGTATTTCTTGGCAGAATTTGACTCATTCTTTGGCAGAGAATCATTGTCACCCTTTCCTCCTCGCCTCCCCGGTCAGTCTGGAATGTGTTTGTTGGGCAGACACTTTTGTGCTGTTTGATCTCTTCCTTATATTATCATCTTGAACTTGTCAACAAAAACATTTCACTGAGCATCTCGTGTTCAGTGTTGAGGCTCGTAATTCACACTGCGCGCCTCTCTCTCTTCCTCTTTCTCACGCACATCCACGTTTGTTCTTTAAAGACCGCAGCATAGTTTAAAACTCACTTGTGAGTTTTCCTTCTACCACTTGAGAAGTCTTCACTTAGAACACTAAGAAAAGAAATCGGGATGAAGACGAGTCATTGTGTGGTCAGAAGTTAAAGTGGCATTGAATTTACAGATCCTGATCTTAAATCAACAGAAACAGTAAAAATTTTAACCTTGGCTGACAAGGGTTCTACCCACGATTTTCAACTTTGTAATGATGTGAAGGAAGTATGTATTGAACAGACTTTACCTCTAATTTTGAGTTCCAATGTTTTCTTCTGCACAGTATACATGGTATGCTGGTCTCCCTCAATACTGGGCAGAAAAACAAGTTACAGTCCCCAGCTAGCCATGGGACCTGGAGGATAAGCCACCAAGCTTACTAGTGTACTCTTGTAGCTAGAGTTTTCCTGCCTGGCCCACAGTCAGGACAAATCTCTCTCACCCGCCAGTCCCACAGCCACTCAGACTCAACACAGAGACTTATATTGGTTACAAACTGTATGGCCGTGGCAGGCTTCTTGCTAACTCTTCTTACAGCTTAAATTAATCCATTTCTATAAATCTATACCTTGCCACATGGCTCGTGGCTTACCGGCATCTTCACATGCTGTCTCTCATCGTGGCGGCTGGCAGTGTCTCTGACTCAGCCTTCCACTTCCCAGCTTTATTCTCCTCCTTGTCCCGCCTATACTTCCTGCCTGGCCACTGGTCAATCAGTGATTTATTTATTGACCAATCAGCAACACATTTGCCATACAGAACATCCCACAGCATACTCTGGTGATAAGCTTTGATCCACCAGTAGGTTGGATGTATCAAGTACGTTTTGATTTGCCAGATTTTCAATAACATAATGATTTTAACATAATACCATCACAAATCAAGGGCCATCTGTTACAATAGTTATTTAGTTCTTTATTAAAATGTACATTTAAAGAAAGTCCCAGTTCCCCCCGCCTCTTGTGCATTTGTATGTGCACTTACCCATGTGTACATGTGTGGAAGCTTTCGATCAACCTCTGGTGTCCTCCTGCATCATTCTCCAACCTACTTTTTGACACAAGGTTCCTGCAGGTTCTCATTGTTCCTGAGGCTCACCATTTCAGTTGGACTGGCTGGTCAATGAGTCTCCACAATCCACAAATGTCTCTCTTCTATATCCTATACCCTCAACTGCTGGGGCTACAAACGTTCAAAGCCATGCCCAGCTTTTATGTGGGGCTAGCATACTTGGCATTTACGCAGGTGCTGGGCATCAGAACTCATGCCCTCATGCTTGCCTATGCATCAGGCACTCTGCCCACTGAGCCATCTCACCACTCCCTAAAATGTTTTAAAGATTAGTTACTTATGTGTGTCTGCATGAATTTACATGCAGCATGTATGTACAGTGCCCATAGAGGTCAGAGGGCATCAGATCTCTTAGAATCAGAGTTACTGATGGTTGTAAGTTGCTTGAAATGTTGTGGAATATTTTGGTACACTGTGTGACGATGTGCTGCTGTGATAAAAAGCTGAATGGCCAATAGCTAGGCGGGAGAGGATAGGCAGGATTTCCTGAGAGAGAGAGGAGGAGGAGGAGGAGGAGAAGGCATCCATGTGCACCGAGAGTCACCAGGCAGACTCAGAGGAAGCAGGATGGGCCTTATGGAGGTGAACTAGTGTCACGTGGCAGAACGTAAATTAATATAAACAGGTTAATTTAAGTTATAAGCACTAGTTGGGGACAAGCTTAAGTTAAGGATGAGCTTTCAGAATCAATAATAAGTCTCCGTGTCATTATTTGCAGGCTGGCGGTGCGGACAATGAAGTACTGCTACAAAACCTGGATCATATGCACTCTTACCTGATAAGCCATCTCTCCAGCCCCTAAAATGTTTTCTGTCTAACCTTCTGTACTGCCTCGTGCTTAAATATACTTCAGTCATCAATCTTTTTTTTGTACTGACATTCTCTGTACGGTAAATTACATTTTTAAAATTTCATATTTATACATGGTTTGTGGACTTTGAACACACATTAAACCTTAATGTTTTTCCTTTCTATATATGTTTCTTTAACAAAAGTTACGGAGCCTGTATCCTAACCTGAAAGTCATCCACACTCAACAGCATCCCACCATGAGCCATACTTCTGGTCTCCTGCCATCTAGTTTCTGTTCCAGTCCCATACTTGGCAAAGATTTCCAGTTTTTTACATTATTATTTACAGTTCTCAAAGGAACAGGTCATCTACAATAATACTATACAATGTAAATTATTCTTACCATTATTTACTTATTCACTTGGACCAGACAATGTTCTGGGAGCAGGCAAAAGATGGTACCTGTGTCCTCATGAAGCTTCCCATCCAATAATGCAAAGCCAGAGTCACCTCTTTTGGGAAAATGGCTAAATGCTGAGTACGTGACACTTGGTACAAATCAGATGTTCAGCTAACATCTACCTGATGACAATGATCATAATCATTAGTACTGTAAGAATATTCAAAGACTATAGCTGTAGTACCACAGGATGGAGATAATCGGAACCACAGAGCTCTTCAGAGTGGAAAAAGTTTTCATACTTATGTAGGAGTTCTGCTGCTCTTGTGTGGGAGCTTAACCTTCCATTTCAGGTGGGCATGGATTCAAATCCTGGCTCTGCTCCTAAGTAACAATGTCTTTCAAATGTATTTCAGTTCTGAGCTTTATTTTTCTCACCTATACAATGTGTATGTGCTTCCATTAGGGGGAATTTTTGAAGATTAAATATGCAAATATCTACAGTAGGATCTAGTCAGATATTTGCTTAATAAGTATTCCACATGAATAACATTGTGATCTTGAAACTTTGGTCGGCCAGGAGTCTGGAGCCTCCAGGATGTGAGATGTTGGTGCAAAGAGGCATTAAAGACATAAATAGTTTTATTTGTGTGTAGGGGCAGGGTATTCAGTGAAAGAAATTCTGTAGTAACAAGCATTTTTAACGGATTAATTGTGAAGTGTTGAACAGACAGGAGCAGGAGACGAAAGAGGACAGTGAGACCCTCATCGCAGACATCTAAAGAAGGGTTTGCATTGATGAGCTCAGATCTGTCTGATGGCACTTGGTATGCCAGGTATATGACTGATTTTAATTTAGTTTAATTTCTTCTTCTCTGTGGTTTTCTTGACTCCATACTGTATCAATTCTGTCAAGTGTAGCTCAATAGAAGTGAATTTTACCTGCTTTTTACTCACCTTCTTGGTCCTTGGATTTTTCTCTCTCTCACCACTTCACCCTTGCATTGGTTGCTCAGTTCCTGTGTCTACTGTAATCTACTCTACAGCACACGGACTTTACAAGCAAAGCAGCTCTTGGAGTAGAAACTGGAAACAAAAGATGCATCTGACTGGCTGACGTCAAGAGCCCAAGTGGAGGAAGAGATAACAGGTACTAACTAGGGAACAAGAAAAGAATCAGAGAAGCCACATTTGTTCCTTGCACTATTAGCCATTGAATTTTAGTCCCCATTAGGGACTAAGTTTACAAAGAGTTCCATAAACTGCATCTGAGAGTGTGATAACACAGGCAGGCATTGCTGAGTCAAGTTTATGAGCTAAGGGAGAAGGCACGCATCAGCCAAATCACTGAAAACTGCATCTAGGGTAAGTGCTACAGAGACAGGGAAACGGAGCTATGAAAAGATAACTTACCTGGTCAGGAAGAGCACGAAAGATTTTCTGGAGTAGGGGATAGCTGGACTAGGATCTGAAGGACAGTCACTGACTAGGGCTCAAATGGAGGACGTGCTAGGCATCACCTGCCATTCTTTCCCATCAGGTACTTCTTATAGGACCCAGTAGAAGATCTGGCAGAAGCCAGGATTGGAAGTATCTAGAGCCCTAAGGTGCTCCAACTCTGAACTATTTTTGGCTGTCTTTGCTACTTTCCCCCTGAATGTCTACTTTCCTGGAATAGATCAGGACTGGTCACAAGCTGTGGCTCTTCCAAATCTTGGTGAATTAAGGTAGACACCAAACAAGGACCAATGATAAGGATCCCAGCTGGATGTTTCTAGGTTCTGCTATTGGCCTGCCTGCATACGATCGACCCCTAACTTTGCATTTCCCGAGACAGATTGCCCCCATTTTGCATTTAATCTTTTATTTTTTCCCTACTATTTTATACTCTTCCCATGTGTTCCTACTTGGAGACTTAGGTTAGGTCTGTACTTCCTAACTACCTCATTAGTTGTCAGCAGAGCCCACATTGTCTGGACTGTGTAGTCTAATGAATGACCAGTAAGCGCAGACGGAGTCTATTTGAAACACACAGTCATTGAAATGTATACTGCCTGATATGCTCTCTGGCAGTGAGGCAAAAACATCTAGCTGCCACTAAATGAAAACAGTGTTTTCTTCCTCAGGAACAGACACTCCTTGTCTTCACTCATCAATGCTTGCTTCTGCAGCTGTCCGGGAACATTCCCCAGCTTCCTGCTGAATGGGGGGTGGGGGGGGACATCTTTGGGTTTCAGTTTTCCTCTGGATTTTATCCCTTCTCTGCTCTTGAATCTCCACCAGGTTCTGGGGGAATCAGAGTCTCCCTACCACTATCCTTTTCCTTCCTAAGTTCTGTCTGTGAATGTTGTCTCTACTCTACAGAGGGGTCCAAGCCATCTTCTCATACACAACACTCTCTTATTCTAATCGGCTCGTATCATCCACACACCACTGTGGGAATGGGGAGAGGGGTTGTTTCTGACACAGAGAAAAGAGAGGTGGCCACCCTGAGACTTTCCAGCGGGTGACTAGCAAGGCTGGGGCTAGATTAAAATGCTGATCTTTACACTTGTGACTTTGCTCTTTTTATCAAGTAATTCTTGGTTTGTTTCAGTGTTTTGCTTTACCATAGGGTTCTCTAGCAAGAAAAACATTCTGGATATGTGCTACCTTCCTATCTAAAAAAAATTCTTCACCTTCTGTGAAATGGGAATTGATGGGCAACCCCTACATTTGCCTTCATCCTTTGGAGTCCCTATCTGCTCAGCCAAAAGGAGTCCCAGGAAGGAGGCAAAGAGTGAGAAGATAAGGAAATCAGAGGAGCTCCTTTGTCACTACTGCCAGCTATAAATCTGGGAACAGGAAGCAGCAGTTGCTAGCCTTAAACACTCAGACTTAAGCTAGAAGAGAAGGCTTTGCCAACTACAAGCGTGGCCCACATGGGGAAAGGCTTTGCTGTTTCTCATGAGCCCAAGGCCTTGGTGCTTGTCATGGCTGGCTCCATGTCAACAATACATGTTTACTCAGGACTTGACTCATTTAGGGATTCCTCTACTCCTTATAGTGTCTCTCATACAGCTCTCTCCAAACTCCAATAGTCACCCTTCCTCCTACTCTGGCCATGGGATGCTTGAATTTTTCTCACCTTTCCCTCTTGAGGGTCCTCTTCTCTTGCCTTTTAGAACCAGCATTTGCACAGCAGTTTGCAAAGGAAACTTCTGAAGGAGTTCTCTCCAACACAAGGCAGCTCTCACTGCACTCTGGCCCTCCTCAGATTTGCCCATGGGCATATTTCAGGTCTCATGACATCTGCTTGCCTTGCCGTGGGACAGCTCCGGAGAACTGAGCAGGTGCCACTGAATCCCATCTCCCTATTTACAATCACCACCAAACTGTCCCATTGAGCTTCCTCAGAGATTCCCACCTACTTCAAGGAGGAAACACCTTCCCCTAACATCCATAGTCCAGTATATGTGTCCATGGCATGATCCTCATTTCCAGGTAATAGATAATAAGTGAATCAGTAAAAGAAGACTCACCACCTGGGGCCGGAGGGGAGGGGGCTGTCTTTGGAAAGGCTGTTGACTGAAATTGCATGCAAACCTTTTAACTGTGATATATACATTTCTGCTTATGAAAAATAATAGTACTGAGGTAAAAGGGCTTATTAACTATAATCAGCTTAAGTGCAGGGAGATACAGGATCCCTTTCTGTAAGGAAGGTCTCCATGGTACAATTCCCAGGGCCCATCCCATTACTGCATTAAAGACTCCTGAAAGCCCCTAAAGGAATGTCCCAGCTGCCACACAGTGCTCCCAGAAATCTGTGAACTATTCCTAGGCACAGTCATTTAGCCTCTTCATACCAACACCATCCAACTCCACACCTTCTCACAGCAACACAGCAACTGAACCACTTGGAGACTGTGAACATATATCCAAGCAAAGCTTTCAGCCTAGAAACCCATTAAGAGATAATAACCCACCTCAGTCATTCTGGCCCCGATAACTGAACTGCTATAGCTATTCTCCGCAAAGCAGACTTAACTTCTTGAAACATTTTCAAATCCTCTATTTCCTTGGATCCACCATGCAAATCTAGACCACTGGCAGAGCAGCCACTGCTATCCTGTTTTCAGAGAGGAGGAAACGGAGATCATGATTTCAGAGCTGACTATTGGCAAGACTTAGATTAGGAATTAGGCCTTCCTATGTCCTCTGCTGGCCCATTACCTTCTTTTCTCTGTGTGAGCTTTTATCTCATGGTGCTTGTGTGCACAACACATGTTTTCTTACTAAAAGTGCTCCTAACAGTATTTTTAAAGTGCTCTTGGAGCCAGGGAGGGAGCTCAGCAGGGAAAGATGCTTGCCACCATGGCTGGTGAGCTGAGTTCAATTACCCAGATCCAGGTGATGGAATGAGAGAAAAGATCTCACAAGTTGTCCTCTGACCTCCACATGTACACCGTGGCATGTGAGTACCTACAGACACATGCATGCATGCATATACACAAAATCAAACAAACAAATACTTTTTCTTGTTACTGATGTAGAAAATTCTAAATCAATGCGTACCCCAAACCTTGTAATCTTTATAACATTTATTTTGAAGGCATTTTGTCTTTGCGGGTGTGAAGATGTTATAGTTAGGGTTTGAATGCGCCCCACAGTACCCTAATGGATAAATAAGGTAGTACTATTTTGGTTATGAATCCTGTGTTCTGCTGCACTCTGACTTCCTGCATCAATCATGACCCTCTGCAAATCCACAGTCCTACTGAACCCGAAACTTCCCAGAAGCAACTATTGGTCTGCTGAGGCTTAAGTGTCTCCACATCACTGTCCAAGAGAGGGTTCTAATGACAACCCTCACAAGGACTGGCTTCCACCAAGTCAAGTGCCCTAAGTGGATAACTAGGCTCCCTAAGCCGGGTCCATGCTTTGCTCTTTGAAACGCTCCTGTACACAGCTCTGTATCATATGTCCTGGCACTAGATGTCTAGTGAATAAGGAAGCTTGTCACCACTGAGGGCATTCCTCTTGAGTGAAGGGTAATCATTGAGGATTGATAGTTGAGACAACACAATCTCTTTCCCTCTCACAGTAGAGTGTGAAGTGTGCACATGGAGTGTGAAGATTTATGCAGGAACTGTAAAAAAAAAAAAAAAGAAAAAAAAAAAAACAGGCATTCTCATTTATACCCTTTGGTTTTTATTTCAGGGTTGAATGTTTGGAACTAGGCTCCACACATTCCCCAATTTCCCCAACCCATCAGTAATCACAAGAATTGAGAGAACTCCTGACTCTCCTCTGTTTACCTCAGCATGAACGAGGAAGACCTGTTCTTCAACATTCTCAAACCATAGACAACGTATCCTCAGTGTCTGAAGCCTTGAAATACAGACAAATAAGGTTCAGTCTCTGTCCCTGAAGAATGTTTTTAAAGGTGGAACTTTGAACAAAAAAGCATAACAACAAGAAAAGAAATTGTGAATTTGGAAATTCATTACATTTTTTCCCCTCTTCCCCACCTCAGTGCCTTGATTTACTCACTTTAGGAAAGACGAGTGGATGCTAAACGTAAGAAGGCACTTGTGAACTGGGTTTCTCGGGGAAAGCTGGCATGGGAGCTGGAGCATGTATTGAGAAACAACAAGTACAGCTGAACAGAGCCCCAAGGGCACAGACTTCTGAGGTTCCCTGGGAAACTGTCTGAAGGCCAACTCTCTCCACAGCTTCCTGTAGTAAAATCCACTCTGAAAAACATGACTTTTGTGACTGGAACTTTTGCGAGTACAGAGAAGAGGCCAACATTTCCTGTGGAGACTGGGGTAGTACAGGACCAAAGCTGGAACAGGGGTGGTGACGACTCACAAGTCAAGGATGTGGTCCTCCCAGCCCAGTGTGACTCCAGTCCACAGAAACACCCTGGGCAGGGATGTGTGGTCTGGATTTACACCAAGCATTGAACTGGAAGTTCGCGAAAGGTTCTTAAGTTCACAAGGGACACACGACCTTGTCACCCATGCTCCTCTTTTAAAAGTAAGAAGTCCAAAGTGTGTTACTACATGTTAGGAAACAACATTATAGGGTTGAACAGAGAAACTAAAGCAATTAAAGAGGATCAGAATTCAAAGGGGCTTCACAGTGGCAAGCCAATTTAAGTAGACTTGAGTAGTCCTAGAAGAGGTGTGGTATCAACAGATGGGCAGGGAGAGAGAGGGAGAAAGGAAGGAGGCTGTTCTAGGTGGAATGGATAGCTTATGCCAGGGTCTCTCCATCTCAGCCATCAGCATTAGCTGATCAGTAATTAGCACGAGTCGTTCATTGTGTAGCATCCCTGCCCTCTACAAGCTAAAGATCAGTAGCAACATCCCACTCCAGTCACAGCAAAGATAACTCCAAACTCTGCCAAATGCCACCTGAAAGGCAATGTGAATGGCATGTTTGAAGGACATCATCCCTAGAAGCTGATGCTGGGGTCACTGATAAAAGATCATGTTGGCAAGAACGTTGTGTCGATAGGAAGCTAAGCGGTGGTTGTGGTATTGACCCCCTACTGTATGGCCTGGCTATTCAGGTGGGAATTCTAAGCAGACATGGCATTGCCCAGTGTAACTTTGGAAGAAATAAGTAGGAGTGTGGGGGTAGTGACTTAGAGATACCCACGAAGCCTCGGGTCACAGAACTCAGCCATTGTCTTACAGGAGAATCAATACATCCATTCTTCCTTGTCACTCTGGTCTGCGGATAGTCCATGACTCTTACCCTAAGAACTTCCTCTTAGGCTGGGCTGACATGCCTGGCCTTGACCCTGGGTAGTGGCTTGTTCCTCTGAAGGCTGGGAGCACCTGTGGCCTTACCCCCTTATTTTAGCAACAATTCTCGAAGCAGCCAGAAGCATACACCCAGAAGCCCTTTGGACTGTTTGTTGTGTTGTTGCTAACGGAGCCTGCAGTCTAAAAGGGGTTTCCAGGGCGTGTTGATTAGTTCTCTGCTATCCAGGGAGCCAGGGACACGGTGTGCACAGGGGCTGTTCGGCTTAGGAGACTGGTTGGAACTGGTAGTTATTTAAAGACGCTGGGCTAGTGTCAATGTGACTTCGACTTTTTTTTTTTTTTAAAGATACTTTAGGGGGCCAAGAGTAATGGCTAGCTGATTCTTCCACTTAGCTGCTAATTTGGGATTTGAGCTGCAATTACAAACAGCTGTTGTAACATCTCCAGATTCCTAGGCAAAAAAAAAAAGCGATTTGTGAAATCTTCAAAGGGCCTCCTCAAGAGTATGATAATTGAATTTCCTTATTTGTCAAAAAGGTGGTTTTCAGGATGAGTTTGGGGAATGAGACACTATAATAGGTTGTAGGGTCAAGATCTGTCACATTTGGGCAAAATAAATGTCCTGTAATTGTTAAGACTATACATACCCATTCAGAAAGAGGCAGGCCTCCCACAGGCTTGAACAAAGCATGACACATTAAGTTGAGGGGCAGGACCAAGCTCTTCTCCCTGTATCAAGGAGGAGGAGTGGGTGGGGAGGAATGGGGGTAGATGGGAAGTGGGGGAAGGCAACGGGAGGAGAGGAGGTAGGGTAAACTGTGGTTGGTATGTAAAATAAATGAAGAAAAGTGTTAATTAAATTTTAAAAAGAAGAATATATGCATCCAATAAATATGTGTTGAATACCTATTGGGGTCCCAGCTACGACGAGAGCTTACTAAAAGTCCATGCTAATAAAAGTTTATAAAAATAATCCAATATAATTTGCCAATAAATCTATATAACTTACATATTAAGTTATCTAACTTCTCATGGGCACATCCTCACTCAAGCATGGCTAGCCTAGATCTAAAACATAGGAAGAACACTTTTCCTTGCTCGAAAGCAATTAAACCAGAGGCAAAACACAACACACACACACACACACACACACACACACACACACACACACACACACCTCAAACAATAACCACCTATCATACAGGTCATAGTGACATAATAATTATACTTTATCTGTTTTGTAAGCATGGGAAATAAATCAGAATAGAAATACTTATAATATCTGATGGAATCAAGTAAAGCTTCTCAGAATATGATTGAGTCACTAAACCCTGATTTTATATACCACCGTTTGCTAGTCCAGTGCCTCTTACATGGTGGACAATCCAATATCTGTTAAATCAAGACCCAGAATTTTTCCAACAAGATCTGAGTGCAGTTGAACCCCTGAGATATGGGTACAATCTGTGATCACTGCAGTAATCCTTTAGAGCAATATGTTTGTCATTTCAACATTATTATAAAGCAGAGGGCCATTTTCTTTGGTTGTCTTGTCTTTCAGAAGCAAAGTAGGAAAAAAAATAACCATGAAACTTCTATAAAACTTGAAACAGGAGTCACAGATCTAAGCACTGTTCCCCTTGGCTGGGAGTCCACAGAGCTCTCAGGATTCTTTTTAACAAATCTTTGCTCAATGGGTAAGACATTTCACATCCTACTTCACAATGTGTGGGAAGATCTGGTGCAGCGAGAGCATGTCAACCTGAGACTTAGGAAGGTATGGGCAGTGATTTAACGTTGGGTAGAGTTGTTCGTTGCTTGTGTCTTGGTTAGGAAGGTATAGGCACTGATTTCTTTTAACATTGGGTAGAGTTGCTCTTTGCTTGTGTCTTGGTTAGGAAGGTATAGGCACGGATTTCTTTTAACACTGGGTAGAGTTGGTCTTTGCTTGTGTCTTGGCTAGAAAGGTATAGGCACTGATTTCTTTTAACACTGAGTAGAGTTGCTCTTTACTTGTGTCTTGGTTAGGAAGGTATGGGCACTGATTTCTTTTAACATTGGGTAGAGTTGCTCTTTGCTTGTGTTTTGGTTCCGTTTTTCCCTCCATCTCACAATGAGGATCAGATGAACTCAGGGTGGTCACCACTTCTTGAAAGACCAGATACTTAGCAGATACCACTCAAGGAGGGAACTGAGCCCCGTGGGCAGTGTGCTGTTTGAGAACAGCGGTACGAGCTGGACTTCACCCTCAGTGAGCTTTGAAACTATTACATTTATGGATTAATTAATTAATTTACTTACTATTCTATGTGGACTCATCCAATGGCATCACACATGGAGGTCAGAGAAAAATGTGTGGAAGTCGGTTCTCTCCTATTGTGTGGGTCCTTGGGAATGAAGTCAGGTTCTTTGACCTGAAGGCAAACGTCTCTACCTAGAGTCATATTGCTAGGTCATTCTTAGAAACTAGGAAAAACACATAGACATCATATCTGGCAGAGTTGAATACACTTGATAATTCTGAAAGGTCCTTTAAAATCCTGAATAAGAATGACAAGAGTTTTATCTTTTCTTGTTCCTAATCATCTCCCCTTCTAGACTGTAACATTCTGTGAGGTCTTGTGTTTCATCTGGTCATCGCTGGACCCTAAACTCCCTCATAAAGAGACCACATGTCTCCACAGTACACAAGAGAGCGCTTGCCTCTACCTCGAGGGCTCATGCTTCTCTGTTCTCCTTCATGTGCCTACACTGCTTCTTTCTTGGGTTCTCACTGCTGACTGGAGGTTCTGCCCATCAGAAATATTCCTGAATAAGAAAATGCCAGCTGTCCTTTGGGGAAAGTCTAACCAAAGCCAGCATGAGTTGATATTGTCTGGATATCAAAACCGGGACCTGTGACTGGAGGAGCCTGGGTAGAAGTGGGAAGAGAAGCTTGCTGGAAAGACTGTTTATGAACAGAGAGGTAAAACAGAAGTGGTAGCAAGGTGGGGAGTGAAGTAGGCAGGAAGAAAGAAAACAACAAGATGGCGCGTGGTAATTGTCAGTTCAGCACTGAGTCTATTGGTGAAATTATTCAGGCCACTCCACATAGTTAAAAGGGAGGTTTATTTTGTGGGGTAACTTACAAGTGAAGGGATAGTACAGGGTCTGGGAAAGGTATAGCGCAGTCCGGCAGTGTTCGCTCGGTCTACCTCCAGCGTCCAGGGTCTAGGAACCAAGAGAGACAGCACATCTGGATCTCCGGTCTTCAGGGTCCTCTCTCGGCCCTGCCTTGTAGGCGTGACAGTTACCGAAGCCTCAATGGGGGTTGGAACTTCCAGATCAAAGCTGGAATGGCTACCCACTTCACCAGTGGGTCAGATTACAAACACTTTCTCAGTTCTCTTCTGCTGCAGAGCCAACCACCACAAGACCAGTGACTTAGCAATAGTCATTACCAGTTGTTCAGTTTCTGTAAATCAGAAGTCCAGGCCCAAGGGCTGGGAGGATAACATCATCATTGCAAGCACAAAGATGGGAGTTTGGTCCACGGAATTCATGGGGAAAAATACAGGTATGGTGGCACACACTTTTTTAATTAAAAATTTTTATACGATATATTTTATCCTATTTTCCCTACCCAACATCTCCTTCTTTCATTCCTCTTTCTCCCTCCCCTTCTCTCTCTCAAAAAAATGGAACAAATTAAGAAATAAAAAAAAATCCCACAAACATGAAAATCAAAACAGACAAAAAAAAAAGGCAAAACAAAAAGTTCACAAAAATAGCATTGTGTTCATTTTGTATTGGCCAATTATGCCTGAGCATGGGGCCTGCACTGGAGTGTGGTTGATATACCCAGTAATACTGCACTGGAGAACACTGATTTTCCCTTTGCCAGCCACCAGGCATCAGCTACAGATAGCTTCTTGGTTAGGACTGGGACCTCATGTCCACTTCCCCCTCTCAGATTATAATATACATCTGTAACTGCATTGCTAGGGAAGCATAGACAGGCAGATCCATGGGATTCTCTGGTCACTCAGCTTAGCTTACTTGACTAGTTCCAGACCAGTCCTGAAAGAGAAAATGAAGTCATGAAGCCCTACCCCTTCCTGAAAAGCTTTTGCCAGTTAATAGTTGCAAGGGTGGGGGAGTGATTTTCTTTAGTGGTATTAACACTGGTAAGTTGCCCTTGCTCCAGGAAATATACCCCACACACCCACTCACACCCATTCAAGCAACCCTAATTAAACTCAGTGACATGCACACAAGCATAGCACCATGAGGTTCCTCGGTGCTAGATTCTCTCAGCTCCTAAAGACTGTTCTTATTCTTGAAGCTACTCTCAAGACCTTGCTTCTTCAAAGCTAGTTAATAATAACAGTGGAAGCAACACAGTCAATCACGATTTAATTCCCTATTTCCATCATACTACAGTTTTTAAAGACTCTTCTGTCGGGTAAGCTTTATGTGCTGAGGATGGCAGAGTTGGAGAGGTGGACCTACCCAAGCTCCTTGGAGCCCAGAAGATCATGAGTGAGCTAGTGAGCTGGCTTCCTCCATGGTTCCTGCCTCCAGATTCCCTCCCTGATTTTCCTTACTGCTGGACTGGGACCGCAAAGTGTCGGCTGAAATCAACTCTTCCCTTGCCCAAGTTGCTTTTGGTCAAAGTGGTTTACCACAGCAACAGAATGAAACCAGACAAGTTCCCAAACTTTCTCCAGTCCACTTCACATCACACTAAGCATTAAAAATGCTGTCATGTCTTTCATATCCAGGGCCATTAAATGAACCCACTCACAATAGCGGTCCATTGACTAGAGTTCTGCCATTCTTGAACAGGCTTCAGGCCCTCAGCAGCACATCCACACACCACTAGCCCATTTCACACTCGAATAAATACACCAGTTTGGAAGCTCTTCTTGACTTCATTCAGACTACTTAATCAGCAACTGAGTACGGGAAGGTGTTTAGCCATTAACTATTTACTGTTCATTTTATACCCATCACTGAGCCTGAGTGTTTAGAAGGCAGAAGTGAGAAAAACATCATTATCACTGAAAAGAAAAAATTCCCAGTTCAGATCCCTAGGGCTCTCTGGCTATCCAGTCTAGCATATGTGGCTAGTTCAAGGTCAGGTAATTTTCTACCATTAGAATAGATAATCACTGCCTACCACATATGCCCAACTTGGGAAAAATCTAACTGATTTATAATGTTTATTTGACATACTAGATGAAGAAATTGTAAGACTGCTAGGTAC